AACCCAGAAAAATTAATGTTCCCCACACCTCATCAGTACCTAACACCAGAGAATGACTGAATAGCATTGAGATGTATACAGTGCAATCAGTCAACTTCCTTTTTGTTTTATGCTTTTCTAATAAGTTGGTAGGAAGGGTACATTTTTAAATAGTAACATGAGTTGACAGGTGGAAGTCACCATGCTCAAGTTAGAGATCCAAGTTTGGATATCATTAAGCTTGCTATAAAAAAAAAGATTAACATGTTGGAAAACTCATTGGAAAGACACATACTTGCAAAAAAAAATGTAAATTTAGGTTTAAATCAGAAAAAAATTAGAAATTAAATAATTCAAAGTAGGTATATTTTAACTAACATGAATAAACCTTAAATAATTACACATGTATACTTACATACCTCAAGCTCAACTTGGCAGATTGTTAAAACAGGGTGCCATCTGGGAACCAGATTCCTAAGAAATGACTTTACAGTATGCTACAAAAATCAAGTGCCCTATTGAGGTTTTAGAGAACAGTTATATTGTTAAAAATATCATTTTGAGCCTCCTTTATTTTCCTGATAAAAATATGTTAACACTAATTTTGCTTCCAAGTATCCTTCCTTTGGCAACTAGCATGTGTAAAAATAATAGTTTCTTGATTTCTGCACCACCACTTTAATAGATTTTTAAAAAGCAAACTTAATCAACATTAATGTTTAAAGTTGTATTTTATACCTAAAATATGAATACTCTAAATAATAGAGTAAGGCTATACAAGAAAATAATTTCTTTACATGACACATGTTCAAAAGCACTGCCATTCCATAATTATATTATGAACAGAATGTATCTGAAGAAGTGCTAAAAACTGGATGGGAATCGTAAGGGGGTGGAAAGAAGAAACATGTTTACAATCTGTTCAAATTCTCAGCTTAAAAATTTTTATATAGAGAGTAATGGTTTAAATATAGGGCATAGTTTCTGAGTCAAACTGCGAACATATAAAATTAAAATCTTTAATGTGAAATCCTACCTGTCTGCCAACTTCAAGTCCTCCAATACAGGACCACTGAGCTACTCTGTCAAGTTACTTTCTACTACGAGCAATTGCTCTGATCAAATGCCACCACAAAGATCACACTTGCTGCGGCAGCACTCCAGTGTGCTGGGGCATGCTGGCATGATCACTGTGCTCATTCTCCTATAGCCCTTCCACAGAAGGTGTGCACAGATGGCTCTGCTGGAGTCACCCCACCTCTTCCCTAGGATTCATGTGTGTGTTCAGTATGGATATTTAGTCAATGGTGAATAATGATGCAGATGTTCATTGGTACAGAAGATGGATTTCATGGTCTCAGATTGATGTGGAGCTCAATCTACCATTCATAGAGACTAAATTTGTTTATTAGCCTTTGGGGAAGAAAAAAAGATGGATCCTACCTATTAAGTTAGGGATATCCAAATTATCACCTGACTCGTGAATATACATAATTCCCAAATAAATAGATTAATTTAAACGTACTTGAAAAAATTAAAACTGCTTCCTACAAAGTAAAATAATTCAGTTAGAAAATTACATGCATAATTACAGAAATATAAAGAGTACTCTAGATCTGTTTGACTAGTGAAAAGTTAGTATTATGAATTAAAATGTAAATACCAGAATACTGAAAAATAGGAATATACCTGCAGTTATGCCCAGGATTACTGAAATTATTCAATAGCAACAGTTCTTTAAATTAATGGCTTCTGCTCCCCCCACTCATTTTCAACACACACACAACTCTCCTCGGCTCCAGATACCATCCATTTACTCATCACTCCTCTCCACTAACAAAAAGCACCCCACATTCACCCACACAGAGGACAACAACTGTCATTTCCTATTTGCTCTCAGTCTGTCATGGTTAGATTACGCTTGTAACAAGGCCAACAACAGGTCTGTGCACTGGAAGATGCAGTCTGAGCAGCTGAGTTATGACAGAGCATTTAGAGAATTTTGTTAAATTTAATGTATACAGGTGTGCAAATTAATCTCAGAATACACACACTCTCAGACAAATTACAATGAGCATTCCCATTTAAAGAGACAATAAACATCCTAACGCAGAAATGTATAAGCTATACGTCAGTAAACAAAAAGTTAACATTTTAGCAGAGTATCAAAAGTGTCACAGTCAGTAATCCTTCATTTCCACCTGACTATTTTGCTAGCAGACAGAGAATAAGTAAGCAATTCCAAATTTAAACTAGACTTTCTCAACCCCAGAACTATTAATATTTGGAGTAGGAAAATCCTTTGTTGTGGGAGTTGTCCTGTGCATTAAAGGGTCTTCAGCAATACCCCAAACCCTGCGATGACAACCAAAAGTATCTTCAGATATGGTCAAACATCTCCTCCTGGGGAACAGAATTGCCCCTCGTCGAGAACCACTGATCTAAACAACAATAATAGAGTGTTCACATTATGTTTAAAGAACCTAGAAACTAAGAAATGTATTACTATTTAGTAAGCTATTATTTGCTTTCCTTAAAACATGCTTTCTTAAAAGGATTGGCAGAAGCGGGAAACTGCCGGGAGAGGAGCGGGGAAGAGGGATTGGCAGTAGTGGGAATCTGCCTGGGGATGGGGGACGAGAGGGGGCATACCTCATCAACGAGGGCACCTGCATAATGAACATTTGTATACCTAACCCTGAATTGTACCCCACATCTTTAAAATAAAAAAAAAATTAAAAGAAAAAAACATGCTTTCTTTAATGAAAATACTACTTTAGAGCATAAAGTCTTGACCACCTTTTTTATTTTTATTTTTTTGAGACAGGGTCTCACTCTATCCCCCAGGCTGGTATGCAGTGGCATGATTATACCTCCCTGAAGCCCTGAATTCCTGGGCTCAAGCAATTCTTCTGCCTCACCTTTCAAATAGCTAGGACTACAGGTGTGTACCATCAGTGTGTGTACCAACCGACTAATAATTATTCTTTGTAGAGACAATGTCTCACTATGTTGCCCCCAGGTTGGTCTCAAACTCAAGGCCTTAAGTGATCCTCCCACCCCAGCCTCCTAAAGTGCTAGGATTGCAGGCATGAGCCACCATGCTCCGCCATGACCATTTAAAAACACGTCTATTTGTCACCTTCCTTGTATCTCTTCTGGGAGGCTCTAGCATTTCCACTATAGCCAACCCAGGGTGGACCCCTTTGTTCTTTGGTCCAACATGATAGAATTATCAGGGGAAATGTTCTTACACAAAATGAAGGTTCCCACTCAGGCATTCGCACAGGTACTACTAGGCACGTTTTGCTTTCACAAACTTGTGGTTCCGACTGGAACAAGTTGTTCTGCATAGTTTTTACTACAACTACGTGACTTCCAGTTTCAGTCTGTCAGTAATTTAACTTCACTGAAGGCTGAGCCCAGATATTAATTTGTCTTAAACACTTTAGACCCAACATCTCATGAAGCAGGCTCCGGGCAAGCTTTGCTCATAGTACTCTTGGGATTAGGGGCCAACAAACATGTTTCACCTAGTCCTTCGCCAACTCAAACACAGGCTACAGAGTTTCAAAGCAGTATGATTTTAGAGGGTGGCATATTTACACTTAATAAGCATCAACTTAATAAGCCCTAAGAAAAAGAAGACTTTCAAAGTCTAAAGTTTCTTTGCCCATCAGATAAGTCTTATGAAATAATATGTTGATAAAGAAAACAAATACATTCAAATACCTATATTGTATGGAAATTAAACATGACCTTGTATACTGTAGAAGCAATCATTTCATTTTGGTGATTACATTTAGCATCTCAAAATTATATTTCAATTAATCAGAAATGCAGATAGACTCATCCCTGCCATGTACACTTCATTGCTGCGGAGTTTAGAAAAGTTTATTAAACACAACTGAAAACAAACAGGTTCAAAGCAGTGTGAATACATACTGTCAGACCTTGAAAGACTAATTCTACCTGGGTTGTTAGGTTGTACCGCAAGAAGACAATGTGTGCTATCAAAAATATTTATATAAATAATCTTTTCTTCAGAAAAAAAAATTGGCCATATTTAAGATAGTCGATTTTTGAAAATAACTGTTAGAGCTATTACATAAGAATATCAACCATGTAAACTAAATCTTTGTCTCAACTGATGAAACTGATTTTTCCATTTCCCTTATTTCTCTAGTCAGAATAAGTGTTTATTTTCTCCCTTGGATAAATGTTAATTAGGTTTAAAAGCCATGATGGCAAGGAGGTAGTTATCACAAAAATAATTTTCCTGGTCACATTGATCTGATAACATTAGTTTATTACTGATTTCCTAGAAGCATGTTAAATTTATAGGAAAAAAAACTTCACAGGAGCTTAAAACCAGATTTCCTGAAACCACATACTCCCACGCAAACACCATTTTCCACCTCAGATCCAACAGTGTATTGGCATACACATTCTCACTCCCACTTTCACTTTCTCATCTACACTATTAAAATAGTGAAAAACAGTTCATTTTCAAAAGTCAGTCACAACTGACAAGGTCCTTGGCATTACATATTGGTCCAGGTGTTTCTACCTTCCCAAGATTTTTAAAAAAGCATTTTTTAAACTACTGTGTTACTCTAATCTTTATGTTAATTACCATGTCTTAATTTCAAGTACATAAGAAAACAATTTTAAAAGCATTACTTTTGCTCTGCAAGCTAATCTCTAAATTCACTTTATAAATATAATGAGTAAACCTCACCATTAGCAACCAAACACTATTGTGTTGGACAAGCATTAAAACATAAACACTACCATTTTGGTCAGTACAGAGATTTACAATAAGACCATGCCATGTCATAGGCTACAGACAGATGCACATTCACAGTCCCTATGCCATTTTTAAAATGGAATTAGAAAAGAGGAAGGCACAGAGAGGCGAACAATTTTTCTGTAACCATGAACTCTCAGCATTTTTTTTTACACTTAAGCTACAAGCCCTAAGCTTAAATATATATAGCTAACAAACTGAAGAAACTTACTTGACAGTGACTCGATTTGATAAATCCTGTAGATCCCCAGGATGGAAAAGCTGGGCTTCTTTCAATCCAATCTGTTCACAAGCTTTCAAAAAAACGTTTATATTATCCTGTGAAAAGAAGTGGAAAGTGATTGCTTAGCCGAGCTCTCTCTCAGACAAAGGTTACAAATTTTTATGATACAACTTCGAAGCTTCAAAGTCCAATTACAGTCAGCAAAAGAGGCGGCAGCAAGACCAACGCATATGTGTCTTTGAAAAAAAAAAAAATACATGGAGCATGTATAGACTTTCAGTCTTCCAGAGCATAAACAGTAGTGCTATCTTATTCCCAGGCATACACTGCTTCTGTGATCTTTGTGACTGGCACGTTAAACATTACCTGTTATAGGACAAGTGCCTAGCCACTGAGCAGTAATCTACACTTTGATGTCAGCTCTGCTCTGCAAACAAACGCCCTCTTCCCGGCTTCGCACGACAAGCCTCACCTCTCCTTTTTAAAAATAACTCCAGCTACTGACATTCACCCACCCAGAAACTGTTGGCAGGGAAGAAATAAGAGGAGGAACATTCTGTTTCTATGATTACAAATTACAGAATGACTGTGGAATACCACACCTGGAATCTGGGTTTGGTTGCTGAGCTGGCTTTTGACAGACAGGGAAACCATACTACAGGACCAAAGAGAGACCTGGCGTTCATTGGCTAAATTGCATGGTTTGTGTGGCACATTACTCACTCCCTGCACCTGCCTCAAGAGACGCCTCCAAAAAATGAAAGCTGATCCCCCACCTCCAAGGTTGCCCTTGTATCTAATTTCAAAACCCAAATCCTCCACTCACAACCAGTGCTTTTCATTAATGCAAACGGCAGCCCAACACAGACTGCAATGTATTCTCTTTTACAGTCAGCTACATTTCAGAGACACACATTTGGTTACCAGAATTAGTTCAGGCTTCATCTTTACTACTCTGAAAAAGGAAAACACTTTATGGGGTTGAACTTGCTAGGGTTCTCAGTTAAGGGGATGGCCTCCCATCATGCCAACACATGTCCATCCACTGAGCACGCTGGCAATGCCACCTCTGTGGTGTGAGCCTCCCTGAAACCTCACCTTCCTCCCTAAAGGCTGATTTTCACAGACCAGAAGTCAGTCTGCTACTTGGAAGAAAGGCAGTTATGCTTCTCCCACGTTGAGAAGCTCATTCCCACAAGAAGAAAAGTGGAGATGGTATTGCAAAATGGGAGGGGACAATTTAAAAAACAAAGATAAAGAGATTAAATTCAACGGCTTGGGTTCTCAGTGAGGAAATTTAGGGAAAGCACAAGAGAAGGTATGACAAGAGAAAAGCAAACTGATTGCTTGGGAAAGGGATGTTAAAAAGAAAGTCTTTTTTTATGGCTGCGTAGTATTCCATCGTGTATATTTATTATAGTTTTGTGGAATACAGTTAAGGGTTAGGTGTACAATTACGTTTCATTCAGACACCCTGTTGATAAGAGGTGTTTTCCCAGCCCCAGCAAATATCTGTCTGGGGCTGGGAAAACACCTCTTATCAACAGGGTGTCTGAATGAAACGTAATTGTACACCTAACCCTTAACTGTACCCCACAAAACTATAATAAAAATACTGATTAAAAAAAATAAAAAAAAATAAAAAAAAGAAAGTCTACTACCGGTAAAAGGCAGTGTGAACCACCTTACTGGAAGCTGAAATTTAAGAATCATTTTAAATAAGACGACATCAAAGAATAAATAAATGTACAAGTCAAAAGTTGAGCAGCTCAATGAGAGGTGGTTAACTTGTCTTTAATAACTTAATGTGGAAAAAGGAGAAGTAATTTACAGGCAAAATTCCAGGAAGAGTAGAAAGTGATAATTTTGTTAAGCTCACAGTTTCTAAAAAACTGCACAATCGGTAATTATCAAATGATACAAATTAATGGTTCTAAAACTGGTCCTCTGAGAAGTACACAAGAACAAATGGTCTGATGTACCAAGACCCCAAGTTCCATGGGAAGCAATCTTTATAAAAAATAAAAATAAAAAAGCATTAGAAGTCTTCCCATCAATTCCATTTGGATCTGAATGTTTAAAGTATTATAAAATATTAAAACAAAGTTAAACTAAAAGTAAACTTGTTAAGAGCAAAAACAATTCTTCACATATTTTATACAAACACAATTGCATTCATTTGGTTGACAAATATGCACAGGTTGATAAGGATAGATAAAACAAGCCACACTCTCCTAAGAAACCACCTAAGTATTTAGAAAGAAACCACTTAAAATCTAAAGTGATAACTGGAGATAAAGTTCAAGAAAAGACACAAATTAACATGACTAAATTCTAGTCTTACATAAATCCTTTGTTTTATTTTAACCAAAAAATCAAAATATCTTTAAATAGTTCAGTGATACTCAAGTTTAAAACAGAAAAACTTTGTAAACAAAGTCATACATGGCCTATGCAGCAGGAACAGGTTGTACTAAGATTAGGACTGTAACCTAAATCATGCTTACTGGAGTCATTGGTAATTTATTGTTTGCAGTTTCAAAGGATCCAAGCAGAGAGTTGCCTAAGGGGATATACAAAATTATAAAATGTTCATGTCTGTGAAAACATCAAGAAGCCACACCCAGCATGGCATATTAAAAGGGAAGCTTTGAGTCTTCTTTTAATAAAATCATTTTCACTTGAAACTATCAAGAATAAGAATAGAAATAAAGGGCAAACTGAATCAAATGTATCTAATTGGACTGGGAGCCAGGACTCCAAGTTAGCTTTGCCACTAACCAACTGTGTGGCTAAGGAAAAACTTAACCTTTCTGGCCCCACTTTTCTCATCTGTGAAATGAGCAGTTTGTGGATCTGCAACCCATTATCAAGGGCAAATACTTCTCTCTGCAAAAGAAAAGGAAGCCCAACCCTCCCTGGCCCAACCCATCACACAAATATTTCATAGTTCAGCTTCCATAAAACACTTCATGTCAAACTCCTGCTCTAAATATCTGCAGTCCCTTCACTTTCAGGACTAAAAGAGGTTTCTCCAACACAAACAAACAAAACAAAACAAAAACCCAATGAATCGTAGAAGTATCTAATAGCACCTTTTAGCTTTAAATTTTTCTGTGACTATGAATAAAGACAGACATTATATAGACAGGAAAAGTTTTTCATATTTTCTACAACCTCTTCCCTACTCCTTAGCCTTGAGTCAATTACAAAGCAGGCATGAGGTAGAAGGGGTTAGGGTAAACTAGAGAGCTTAATGACCAGGAACAGCAGTACTGACTAACAAATGAGATAGGATGAGGAAGTCACAAAGATCTACCAAGATTCTCAAGATTTGTAGTCATTGTAGTGCCTCCATTCGTTATATTTTACTGCAATAACAAATCATCCCAAAACTCAGCAGCTTAAGACAATAGATGCCATGATTTCACACCAATTCTGAAGATCAGCAAGATGGGAGTGGCCTTATCTGGATGGTTCTGATGTGGGAGACCTCTTATCAGGTAGCAATAGAGATATCAGCCAGGATTGCAGTCATCCAAAGGCTTTCCTAGTGCTTGGAGGAACCATTTCCAAGGTGGCTCTCTCACATGGCTGTCAACCCAGGGCTGGTTGTTAACAGGAGGCCTCAGTTCTTTATCAAACGGGCACTTCCAAAGGGTTGCTTGATACAGCCAGTGATCCAAGAAAGTATAAGATAGAAGCTGCAATGTGTTATGGTCTAGCTTTCTTGGGAACTGGCTACTACAATTCACTCCCTGGACTCCAAAGACTCATGTCCCAGCCACATGCAAAGTACACTGACTCCCTCCCAAAACCCGAAAATCCTCATTCCTTTGCAAGGTGAGCTCCAAGTCTGAAATCTCATCACTGAAGTCAGATCTAAGCATGCCTGAGGATCCTCAGATAGAATTCCTTAAGTATGGCACTTAAGTACAGTTCATCTCAACCTGAATGTCTGTTAACTAAAGAAGACAAGTTATCTGCCCCCACCCTAACTCACAATAGTGGGACAGGTGTATGATAATCACTACAGACACTCAAAGTGCGGAGAAATAAAAGGCACACAGGAGTCAACAGTCCACAGACATTCTGAAATCCTGCAAGACAAAGGTTGGTAGTTCCTTCATTAGGACTCAAAGCTAAGGAATACTTAATGGTTTTTGGTACTACCCTCTGGACTCTTGGTTCAACCCTAAAAATAATCTTTCCTTTTCTTTGAAAAGTAGCCTGTGTTTGCAGCTACACAGCTTTCTCAAACTTCTTCCTAGCCTACCCACAGAAGTTTGGGAAAACTAAAGGCCTCTAAGCTTTCTAATTCTCTGTCCCTTTTGGTCTAAGCTGGCAGTGTTTCTGCAATATGATTTTCTCAAAGATATATATCTTTTGTGAATCTTATTGGGGTTCCTTCCACTGGACAAAAACCACACCCATGAATCTTTAAGAGAAACACTTCTCTACCTTGTTTTTCTGCTGGAATGACTGAAGGACAATACCTTTAAGCTTCTTAAAAGCCCTATTCCTGGACTGGACAGACCTCCAAGTCATCACCCCTAGATCTTTCTAAAAATTAAAGAATTTTTTTTTTGAGTTGAAGTCTCACTCTGTCGCCTAGGCTGGAGGGCAGTGGCACACTCCTGGCCACTGCAGCCTCAACCTGTTGGGCTCTGGCGATCCTTCCGCCTCAGCCTTCCAAGTAGCTGGAACTACAGTTGAGCGCTACCTCGCCCGGCTAATTTTTTGATTTCTTGTAGAGATGAGGTCTCACCAAGTTGCCCAGGTGGGTCTCGAACCCGCGGGCTCAGGCAATCCACTCACCTCAGCCTCCCAAAGGCGTGGGATTACAGGCTAAGCCACCGAGCCTGGCTTCAACTTCATCTTTAGATCTTATTTTCCTGTAATGCTCTGAATTTAATCTGTGCCTGAAATCTCAGTTCTAGCGAGCATCATTTACTTGCTAAAAAGGGTGATAATTTTCAAAACCAGCAATTCCTATTTCCTTCATGTTTATCTCTCTATACCCCTCTTTCTCTCTCCTCACCTTTTATTATTAACAGCAAGAAGAACCAAAAGTTTATACTTCACACTCTGGAAG